AATACATTTAATAATAATAGATATCATTGGTATAGCGCAAATCCCCGCTCAACAGCAAGCTATACGCGCTTCACAATCTACACTGACTTATCCTTTCAAACTAAAAGAAAAAAAGAATTAAAGACTGAAGAAATGGAGCACACATCATACAGAGAGAAAGCATCACTCGCAGCTTTTTGAGTTTGGTGAGAATCTCTTAAAAACTTTAAGAAAAAAATGTATTAAAGACTGAAGAAATGGAGCACACATCACAGAGAGAGAGAGAGAGAGAGAGAGAGAGAGAGAGAGAGAGAGAGAGAGAGAGAGAGAGAGAGAGAGAGAGAGAGAGAGAGGGGGGGTGTCCATCTCTGTCTCTTGTTATCAGCAACACTCGGCTCTTCTTGGGCAGTGCTCGTCTGTGTGAGAGATGAGGAGTGAGGGGGAGGAGAGGGGAGGGGGGAAGAGGAGGAGAAGGGAGGTGGGGAGTGCGGAGAGGGGGAGGGAGAAGGGAAAGAAGTACATCAATATCGTGTCTCTTTGGTGTGTGTGAATGTGGAAAAGTGTGTGGAAAAATGTGCGAATGTGGATGAGTGTGTGTGAAGGGTTTGGAGGGATTGGAGTAGGGTCTGGACTGTAAAAAATAAAATTTTGTTTTTGTACCATCAAAGATTTGCTCTCAACATTTTCGTTAAAAAAAAATTAATTAATCCATTCCGCAGTCCAAGCGCAAGATCAACAGGGTTTTCCAGATTTTTGCTGTGGTGTTCTTCCTCCACGTGGTGGGCTTTGAGGACACGACGACCAAAGATCCGGACGGGTCAGTCGGCAAATCTGGCGACACCTACATGAGTGAGCAGAGCGAAGTTTTCCGCATGGCCCTGGCCACCCTGGTCTATCTGCTGGTTGGTGAGTGCTGCTGTTGCTTGTCTGTCCATCCGTCACCTCTTGTCTGTCCATCTGTCACCTCTTGTCTGTCTATCCGTCACTTCTTGTCTGTCTATTCGTCACCTCTCCGTCACTTTTTGTCTGTCTATCCATCACCTCTTGTGTGTCCATCTGTCACCTCTTGTATGTCCATCTGTCTCTTTACCTCTTGTCTGTCTATCCGTCACCTCTTGTATGTCCATCTGTCACCTCTTGTGTGTCCATCTGTCACCTTTTGTATGTCCATCTGTCTCTTTACCTCTTGTCTGTCTATCCGTCACCTGTTGTATGTCCCCGTCACCTCTTGTCTGTCTATCCGTCACTTCTTGTCTGTCTATTCGTCACCTCTCCGTCACTTTTTGTCTGTCTATCCATCACCTGTTGTATGTCCATCTGTCACCTCTTGTGTGTCCATCTGTCACCTCTTGTATGTCCATCTGTCTCTTTACCTCTTGTCTGTCTATCCGTCACCTGTTGTATGTCCATCTGTCACCTCTTGTGTGTCCATCTGTCACCTCTTGTATGTCCATCTGTCACCTCTTGTGTGTCCATCTGTCACCTCTTGTATGTCCATCTGTCTCTTTACCTCTTGTCTGTCTATCCGTCACCTCTTGTCTGTCCCTGTCACCTCTTGTGTGTCCATCTGTCACCTCTTCATAGCATAGCTACCACTTTTCTGCTAAATAGCGGAAACTCCGGTTCATCTAGCTGTTCCTGCTACTTTCATCCTTCCTCCGTTAGACTGCTCTCGGTCGCAAATTGCAATACTTTTTCTTTTTTATTCTCTGAAAACACAGAACCGAGAGAGAGATGAAAACGCTGCCTGCGCATGTCCGCCCGTAGTCTTCTACTTCGTTCTTCTGTGTCTAGCGCTAGTTTCACATTGTTTATTGTGGAGCAACAGTGTCAATCGAGCATTGTGACGAGTTGTCATTGAAAACGGCAGAAATTCGAGAGAAATTGATACAGATTGCGTTCGGTGCGATAAAGAAATCGCTCAGTACAGCGGCAAAGGTGTTGCCTCCTTGATCCAATACTACTGCTCTACATCGATGCACAAGTTTAAAGTGAAAGAAATCTCTTTATGAGACACCAGCTGGCAACAAACAATGTATTTTTAGTCACCAAACTGTGTCAAATGCTTGTTAGTGTTAGTGTTAGTCAACTTAGTGCCTTTTTTTTTTTTCAAAATACATTTTAATTCAGTAGCCTATGGTTAACAAATATATGACTGTTTTCCCTTTCAAAAACATAGGCTAGATGTTCTAATTTGCCTCTGGATCTCACTGGTTTTACTCTAGCCTTCGGAGAGCGCGCATACGCCTTCGCGTGAATTTCCTCCTTTTTTGAAATTCCTGAGTGGCAGCTATGCCTCTTGTCTGTCCATCCGTCACCTTTTGTCTGTACATATGTCATTTCAGGGAGAAAAGTTCAATGACTCTGCACTTCTGAAACATTCTGATTGTAACTTTTCACCCAAAAAGGGACAATTTTGTGTCTCCAATTGTGACACTTCGGAGGGTAAACTGGTCATCTTGAATGTGTTTAACTCTGAGACCGTGCTCCGAAGGCAATCAGTGTGGCATTACAGTTTTGGGATGTGTTGGGTTGACCTATACGTAGTGGTTTCTTTTGTTGTTGTTTCGTCTATACATAGTAGATTCTTATTTTGTTGAGTTCGTCTATACATAGTAGATTCTTATGTTGTTGTGTTCACTTGTAGATAGTAGTTTCTTGTGATGCTGTGTTGACTTGTTTCTCGTAATTCTACTACTACCTCTGCTAATGTTTTTCAGACATCGTCCAGGTGATTTTCTTTCTGTTTATCTACGAGCGATTCATCTCGGACGACATCCGCGAGTTCGTGGATCTGTGCTCGATGAGCAATGTGAGCGTGTTCATCATGGCGCACGGGGAGTTCGGCTACTACATCCACGGCCGCTCGGTGCACGGTCGTGCAGACGTCAGCATGAGGGAGATGTCCGAGATGTTGGAGAGAGAAGTGGTCAGTTGTGTGTGCTCTTAGCTTTACTGTTTTAGTCGCCAGAAACGTTTTAGCCTCAGAAAAGTTTGAAAGTCAGAAAAGTTTAGCCCCAATTAGCAACATATTGAGGAAAGGGACTGTGCTGAAATGTGAGAAATAATATGTTTTCGAGAAAGATGTTTTTTTCTTTTACTTTTGTTCAACTCATGCAACAGACTTTACTGTTTTAATGTCCTAGAAGTTTGGCCCCCACCCAGTAAGCGAGGTACTAAGGAAATGTGCTGTAATGAAAATGATGATATTCTCGTGGATCATTATTTAAAGCACCTACTTTGTGTTTTTTAATATTACAACAACACTGTCCAAGACTTCCACCTGTCAGAGACGACCACTTTCTCTTTGACAATGTGTGGCTATAGTGGACAGTTTTGGCTGTAGTTGTGTCCCAGTCCCCATTACTATCCAAAAAGTTCTATTAGTAAATATTGTGGTGACATCAGGCGCTCGTCAAAAATTAAATGAAAGAAACTGGAATTTTTCTATCCGTTTGGCAAATTTTATTGAATTTTTATTGAATTTTTGTTTTTTACTCAACACCTTTAAAGTCCATTTAAAAACATGCTTTTGTATTGATTTTAGTGAAAAATGTTTAACTCTTTTTATCTGGGCTATGAGTATACTCGTAACGAGGACCAGTCCGGGCTACGAGTAAACTCGGAACAGCTCTGCGGTCATGTCAAAGAAGATATTTCTGCTTGTAATTACCGAAATACGCAAATGCGACGATGCTAAATCTGTCTGAATATTAAAATTTTCCAATGAACAGCGGTTTCTCTGTTTTTGATGGGTGTAGAAGCTTGAAAGATGTCTCGAAAACGCACGTTCACAACCGACGAAGTATTTCTTGAAATGGCGCTGGGTTGTGAGGGGGGATTGATACTAATTTGATGAAAGCGACTCTGAATCAAGTGCTTTAACTTCCGTTGTGGATGATAACGAAAAGGAATTAGACTCATCTAATAGCAATTCAGACCATGATGAAGGGGTCAGTACCGATGGGAAGGGCAAGATTGATAAATTCAAGGGAACGTCGTGGGCGCGGCAATCAGGGTCAAGTCAAGTTGGAGAGTGGAATACACCTCAAAATCTACATGGTGCAATTGATGTAATTCCTAACTACATACATTTACAAAAACTACTTTCAATTTTTAACATAACAGCCAAATTTCCTTAAAACCTAAGAGTAAACGTCAGAAATACAGCACTTTGAAATATACACCCTGAATTCCAACTTATATGGGGCGGCGGCCCCAGGACGCCTACAGAGTCTGTAGGGGTACGGCCTGGATAAAAAGAGTTAAGGCACAAAAATGTAAATTTGCCGTTTCTAAGGACTCTCAAGATTTAGAAGTTGCCAAAATTTGGCGTCCATTTTCTCGCTAATTTTACCTCTGAAACCAGGCAACCCCCTATCTCCTTCAATCGTAAATATCTCGATTTCTATTCATAATAGATGGGTATTTTTTCCCCCAAAAGCAAGACAAATGAAGAAGCTTTCAAATGACACCGATAACTCCACTTGTCCAAAAATATAACGAGCGCCTGAATCCACGGCGTCCTGACACAAATGCTTTCTTGTCAGCCCCCAGTATCTATCCTATCTGCGGGACACCTGAAGAGAAACAAGACAAAACTTCAAAATGAAGAACATCACTCATTATTTGTCCACACTCATTGCATGATTGCATCAGACATTGTATCCTAGCTAGTCATGTGGGTGGTTGGCAGGCACTATGGCGTGGTTTGCTCATTCTTTCCTTTCAAACATGTATTGTCCTTATCTTTCCTTTTTTAAAGCATGTTACTCTCTGTTTGTGTTGCAAGTGCCATAAAACTCTTACTAAAACTAAAACATCTATCGTCCTTTTCTCTCTTTTTTAAAGTATGTTGTTGCAAGTCCTGTAATACTCTTACTA